CACAACCATCTCTAGGCTTTACAGAGAATGCTCGACAAAGAGGAAATATCCAGTGAGCGGCAGTTCTGTGGGCGCAAATGCCTTGTTGATGAGGCCAGAGGTCAGAGGAGAATGGCCAGACTGGTTCCAGCTGATAGAAAGGCAACAGTAACTCAAATAAGCACTCGCTACAACCGAGCTCTGCAGAAGAGCATCTCTGAACACACAACACGGCCAACCTTGAGGCGGATGGGCTACAGCAGCAGAAGAGCACACCGGGTGCCGCTCCTGTCAGCTAAGAACAGGAAACTGAGGCTACAATTCACACAGACTCACCAAAACTGGACAATAGAAGATTGGAGAAACGTTGCTGCTCTGATGAGTCTCCATTTCTGCTGACACATTCAGATGCTCGGCTCAGACAACATGAAAGCATGGATCATCCTGCCTTGTATCAGCGGTTCAGGCTGGTGGTGGTGGTGTAATGGTGTGGGGGAGATTTTCTTTGGGTCCATTAGTACCAATTGAGCATCAACGCCACAGCCTACCTGAGTATTGCTGCTGACCATGTCCATCCCTTTATGAGCACAGTGTCTCCATCTTCTGATGGCTACTTCCAGCAGGATAACGCAGCATGTCATAAAGCTCAATCATCTCAGACTGGTGAACATGACGATGAGTTCACTGTACTCAAATGGCCTCCACAGTCACCAGAGCTCAATCCAATAGAGCAGCTTTGGGATGTGGTGGAACGGGAGATTGGCATCATGGATGTGCAGCCGACAAATCTGCAGCAACTGTGTGATGCTATCATGACAATATGGAGCAAAACCTCTGAGGAATATTTCCAGCAGCTTGATGAATCTCTGACACCAAGGATTAAGACAGTTCTGAAGGCTAAAGGAGTCCGACCCGGTATGCAGATCTGAAGTAAACTAACAGCTTCTTCGGTGCTGGATGCTCCTCTTCGTGTCCTGCTCCTTCAGTTCAGATGTCATCATCATTATCCTCCTCCACCTTCTCCTCAGCTGTACAGTGGTCAGAGTTGGGTCGTGGTGAATGGCCTTTACCGAGTTTACTGGACTCCTGGCTGGTATAATGCTTTACTGTAACCCCGCTGCACGGTGCTGCTCCATCACTCAGTGTTGGTGTGGTGGAGGTCGGCTGAAGCGCTGTGCAGGTAAAGCTCGCTCCTCTGACCTCTACAGCTGCTCTAGTGACAGGCCCTGGTCTTTAGCCTGCTTACAGCAACTGACTCCCATGCAGAAGGTCGCCGGTTCGATCCCAGCTCAGAGTGGGTTGGGTGGCGTAGTGGTCCCAGCGGGGTTACACTCGCAATACCCTGAGACACTGCCATGGAGAGGTGTGGCCTGAGACGTTGCTATAGAGACGCGTTTCCCGCTTTCAGTTTTCAAAGCCTGAGTGACAGATGAAGCAGAGGAAGACATGCCAGAACACACACACACTCACACACACACACACACACGCACAAATAAACGAATACACACACACTGTACGACTTGCTCACACACTGTTATTCACACACTACAGAAGAGATGTGTGTGTAATTCCAGACGTACCCACTGAGTGTAAGCTCTAATAAGACCCTCAAGAAGTCACTCACACACACACACACACACACACACACACACACATATATATTGGAGTGGGACAGACACACACATGCTGGATGTGGATGGCCTCTTTCATACGAATACATTCTGTCTCTCTCTGTTACACACACACACAAACAAACAAACAAACAAACACACACACACACACACACAAACAAACAAACACACACAAACACACACACACACACACACACGCCCTCCCTTTAATATAAATACATTGTCAAACACACACACACACACACACACACACTCACTCATTCACTCTCCCCCCGGGTCTGACCTGTCCGCCGGCGCTGCTGCGGTCTCCGGTATCCGGTGTGCAGGTGTGTGTGTGTGAGTGTGTGTGCGGCGGCTCCTCGGACTCTTTCCCGCTGTGATACACCACCCGGTCGGAGATGTGGATGCTGGAGGCGCAGCCCATCTTCTGCTGTCAGCGGCTAACGGCAAAGTTTCTGATCAGATCATCAATCTAATCTATCGATCAGTGCGCGCGCCGCCGCTCCTCATCCTCCGCGCCGCTGCTTCACGCGCGGCTTCCGTCCATCCGCGCGCGCGTTACTGTCGGCGGAGCGGCGCGAAACACTCCCGCGCGGCCTCTCTGTCGGCGCCCGCGCCCGCGCTCACGGGGAAGCGGCCGGCGGGAGCACCGGCAGCCCGGAGCGGCATCGAGGACACCGGCGGCCCGTGAGACGGAGCTCCGGAGCGGGGCGTCACGACGAAGCGGCGCGTCACGGCGAATACGGCAGCAGCTGTCAGTCACAGGCCTACGGCAGCCCGGCTCTCTGACGCGGACGGGCAAGGACGCAGCCCAGCGACGGACACGGCAGATTAACGGGCGTTAGCCGCGCGGGAGCGTCCTGAAAAAGAGCAAGGCGCCCGAGAACATCAGCGGCGCGAATGTGACAGCAGCAGATCCAATAAAAGCACGCGCACGGATTGACCTACAGCCTCGAATGACGTCAATGCAAATGAGCTACGTCGAGCCAACGAACGGCAGCCGGCGCGCAGGGGGGCGGGGTCTGTGCGTGGAGGCAACTTTAAAAGCTCGCACAGCCGCAGAACGCAGGAGGGAATCTGCCGTCAGTTGCAGGAAGAGCAAGAGCAGCGGTAATTTAGCGTTTAATCCAAGACTATTGATTCCTCAGGGCAATGGAAAGCGCCAGTGTTTAGAGTAATCTCTGCTGAAATATGCGTTAAAGGCACAACGCAGCTCCAATGGTCATTCTGTCGTCATTTCCTCATCCTGTACAAACCTGAGGCTTTCCTCTGATGAAGGCGGACACTGGCCCTCAGCGCTGCTGCTGCCGCACATTTCACTAAATATCTGCTTTTTGTGTTCGACAGAAATAAGAAACTAATAATGAAGCACTGACAGAGCCCTCCAGAGTGCTAATTCTTCTCCATTTGGGGATTTAACTGTGATTAATGTACAAGTAGAGGGTGTAAAGCAGCTGACTGCCACACACACACACACACACACACACACACACACACGTTCAGCTGTGCCTTTACTAAACGAGCACACACATCACACTACACTGCCTTTCTCTTATTCTTCACTCTTTTATAACCTGTTTAACACATTTTAACCTGTTTTTAATCATTAATATTAATAGGTTTTTGTTTTCCCACACTCGTCTGTTATCCCTGTTTGTGTAAAGCTCTGTGAATGGCCGCTGTGTATGAGATGTGCTGTAGAAGTAAATCTGCCTTGCCTTTCATTTTCCAGCAAACGGCTCCTTTAATAAGCTAATGAAATAATGAAAACACCAACAAATACTCTGTTTTCCTGTTTTTACTGCTGGCCAAAGATGAATCGCATTTTAAATAAAATAAATGTAAAAGCATTATGCACATATAAACACGCACGCAGAGATTCAGGAGTAGATGTATTTATGAAGAGTTCAGATGCAAAAACCTCTAAACTCCATCCGAAACTTTATCCTAAAATGAACTCTTTTTTTCAGCATCCTATGTTGATTTAAAGACAAGGATAATAACTTATTGGTCACAATAAAAGTTTCATTACTAAACCCACACACAGGAGTCTGAGAAAAGATTTAGAGGTTGTTGCATGAAAATAAACATGTACAAATTATATGCAAAAATAAAAATAAGTATGATACTGTGTATTTATATATATATATGATACACACACACACATATATATGAAAACAATCTTCCATGGTGCATGTGATCAGTCGTGATCAGCTTTGCCCAGTTTTGACATGATGCTGGGTTTATTTTCTTATTTTTGGGTGTTTTTGTTTAATGTATATAGAGAAATTCAGCAGAACGATTAGTGAGAAATTAAATGTGTGTTTATGAATGATAATCTCAGAGTTGGGCAATCATTAAAAATACAAATATCAGTCATATATGAGGGCGGCACGGTGGCCTCACAGCACTCAGGTCGCTGGTTTGAGTCTCGGCTGGGTTAGTTGGCATTTCTGTGTGGAGTTTGCATGTTCTCCCCGTGTTGGTGTGGGTTTCCTCCGGGTGCTCTGTTTTCCCCCACAGTCCAAACACATGCGCTATAGGGGAACTGATCAACTACACTGGCCATAGTGTATGAGTTTGGGTGTTTCCCAGTGATGGGTTGCAGCTGGAAGGGCATCTGCTGCGCTGTGTAAAACATTTGCTGGAATAGTTGGAGGTTCATTTCCCTGTGGCGTTCTCTGATTAATGGTCTAAGCTGAAGGAGAGTGAGTGCGTGCGTGTGTGTATATGAGCAGATGCTGGAGGACAGGGCTGCTGTGCTGACTGCTGGTCTGGTGTGTGGAGCAGCACAAACACGAGTGTTAATTCACACAGATTTTCTCTTTATTTGATTGAGTTTGACCTAACACAGAATCATGAATGGATGAGAGCCACACACACACACACACACTCACACACACACACACACACACATCAGTCAGGTGTTCTGACTGGGCTGTAGTGGACAGCACGATGCTCACAGATATATACAGTTTCCTGAAATCTTACAAAAATCCTAAAATACGGCTACAAAATACCTGAGTAGACAGAGCAGCGCTGCACATGAGGTACACAAGGCAAATCTACATAGAATTAGCATGCTAGAGGACGTGTTTATCATCGTAGTGTTGGGTAAACAGGAGGTAGAGGTGCGTCTCTACTGTCCTCGTCCAGGTATGGCGCGTGTGTTTCTGCAGACTAGAGGAAGTAGGACTGCAGCGTCCCGCGGCGCCGCACGTCTGTGGTCCAGCAGTGAAAGCCTCCGCCCAGAGAGTTAGCGTGCCGGATGCTCACCTTCACCGTCTTTATACCTGCCGAACACACACACACACACGTACAGTAAACACTACTGCTTTTGGAACCATGCTATGAAGAAGTGTGTAATATACTCTAGCAACTGTAGAATCACCACAACAGATCAATTACTGTAGTTGTGTTACCATAGCAACTGTAGAATCACCACAACAGATCAGTTACTGTAGTTGTCATGTTACCATAGTGACTGTAGAATCCCCACAATAGATCAGTTACTGTAGTTGTGTTACCATAGCGACTGTAGAATCACCACAACAGATCAGTTACTGTAGTTGTGTTACCATAGCGACTGTAGAATCACCACAACAGATCAGTTACTGTAGTTGTGTTACCATAGCGACTGTAGAATCACAACAGATCAGTTACTGTAGTTGTGTTACCATAGCGACTGTAGAATCACCACAGCAGATCAGTTACTGTAGTTGTGTTACCATAGCGACTGTAGAATCCCCACAATAGATCAGTTACTGTAGTTGTGTTACCATAGCGACTGTAGAATCACCACAGCAGATCAGTTACTGTAGTTGTGTTACCATAGCGACTGTAGAATCACCACAGCAGACTCATTCAGCTGCTTTACTGCAGTGTGGTAGAGATGGCGTACAGTATAACAGCATTCACTCTGCATTACTGTGGTATTTGTGCTCTTACCCAGGCTCTCGAACATCTTCTGGATGGTGCTCTCGTTAGCGTCCACCATCACACGCTTCTCGTCCAGCATCAGCACGTTCATGGAGAGCCACTTAGAGGACATCCACAGCGGATGATCTGACGGAGGACAACACTGATATTACATACTGAATCTTCCTCTCACACTCGCTACCCTGGACACATTACTAACTTCACTTTTAAAAACAGATATAACAGAAGTCAAGGGTTACCAGTGTCCAACATTCTCCACAATAACTTATTTTGTGTTAAACAAAATTAATTCAAACACACTTTTCATATCATTATTATTAGTGAGCTGTCCCTTTAACTGTATTAGATGTGCATTTAAAGGGTGCAGTATTCATATTTACTCTCCCTCAATTGTTTTGAATCATTATGAGATTCTTTACTTGAAGTCTTTAGTGATCTATGCCTTTAAGTGGAAATAAAAGCTGCATTTAAAGGGACAGTTCACCCCAAAATAAAATGCACTCACTATCTACTTGTCCATCGAGTGCTTTTAAACTGTTATGAGCTGCGTTACTCTGCTGAACACAAAAGAGGATATTCTGAAGAATGCTGGAAACCTGTAACCATTGATGTCTGTATTATTTGTTTCCCTACCATGTATGTCAATGGTTACAGGTTTCAGCATTCTTCAAAATATCTTCATTTGTGTTCAACAGCGAAAAGAAGCACATAAAGGTTTAAAATAAATAGAGGAAGTAAAGGATGATTGAATTTTCATTTTTGGGTGAACTGAACCTTTAAAGCTGCATTAATGTAACATGATGAGTAAATGGTGCTCACTAATTGGTGAACTGGCCCTTTAAGGAGGAAAATGGCGGCATTTAAAGGGACAGTTCACCCTAAAATTAAACTTTACACACTATCTGCTCTCCTTCCAGTGGTTTTAAACCGTTCTGAGTTTCTTTACTCTGTTAAACACATAAGAAGATGTTGTGAAGAATGCTGAACACCTGTAACCATTGACTTCCATAGCAGGAAAAAACAACACTGAAGTTTCCAACATTCTTCAAAATATCTTCTGTTGTGTTTGATCAAATAAAATACATCTCAAACATTTGTCTGAGTAAGTGATGCTGTGTTTAGTGAACTGCCCCTTTAAGCATCGTTCATGCTGTGTGTGTGTGTGTGTGTGTGTCTTACTGTCGGGGATCAGAGGAGTCGGGGGCGTCACCACCGTCCAGCCCGCCTTCTTGAACATCTCGATCTGAGGAGAGATAGAGGAGAATGAGTGTGTGTGAGTGTGTGTGTGTGTGTGTGTGTGTGTGTGTGTGTCTCCCAGTGAACACTAGAGGGCGCCGTGTCTCCATGAGAGATGGTCCACAGCTCTACACTGCCGCACAGTAAATATCTATTGATGGGCTTCTGTTGTGTGTTTTGTGTTTGTTTGTGGTGGTGAACTGCATTATGGGATGTTGATCTCAGCTCTGTCCACTTCTGATGCTGGAAGTTCCTCTCTAAGTGTCTTTAATTGACATTTGAGTAGTTTGAGATGATCTGTAGCGCAGTAAGTGTGTGGAACAGCAGAGAGTGTGCTGCAGGTCATTACAGGCTTCTGCAGCGTAATCTACATCCCAACACACACACTACAGCACTGCACACTGTTACACACGTGCAGAAAACACACTCTCACACACTTCCCAAGGGGAACAGTTGCTGGAGGACAGATCAAGATCCCATAAAGCAGCGCAGAAGCAGAAATAAGCATGAGGGAAACCCAGACGTGCAGCACAGGACACTGGAACCTGCTGATTAGGGGATGTAGTGTACAGTGTAGTGTCCACCATAAGCCCACCTGTCTGCAGGGCCGGTCGGGGTTGGACAGCACCAGCCCGGGCCCGATGATGTTGAAGGTGGCGTCGATGTGCATGGGGTTCGGGTCCTTGAAGGAGATGATGTGGATCTTGTAGGTGGGAGAGAGGTGGCGCCGCATCCACTCGATGCCCATGTAGTTCGTAACCTGACAGTAAACAGGAGGAAATGTGTCTCAAAACACTCCAGATAACTGAAAATCTCTAAATCAACAAGCTTTTTGTAGACTAGCAACAAATAAATGCAATAATGAGTGAAATGAGGAGAGTTTCCATTAAAACATCAGAATAATCTGACCATGAGGGAAGAGGAATCATCTTATGTCAAAAGGAAGAGCTAGATCATTCCTCTTTCCCCACTGTCAGATTATTCTGCTGTTTTAATGTAAATCTCTCCTCATTTCACTCATTATTGCTGAAAACAAGACTACATTTGAAGAGTTCAGATGCAAAAACCTGTAAATGCGGTCTGCAATGGTCCTGTAAGATGAGCATGTTCATCAGGCGCCTGTGTGTGTGTGTGTGTGTGTGTGTGCTCACTAACACCACTATTATAGTGAAGAACCAGTCCTTTCTTAATCTTTACAGTGAAACATCTCAACAAAAACAAAGGAAGCTGAGGAAAATGCTCATTTTTGATGGACATTTCAGACCACACTCAGGGGTTTTTGCATCTGAACTCTTCGTTAGTCTAGAAAAGCCTCTTGATTGCAGGATTTCCAGATATTTGGACTAGAAACAAAACACAAACTCCCTTAAAGAGGCACAAGAATGAAGATTCTGTCATCCTTAACTCCTCTGTTCAACACGAAAGAAGATGCTTTGAAAAATGTTAAGAACCGGTAACCACTGACTTCAACAGTGTTTGTTTTTCCTATTATGGAGATCAATGGTTACCGGTTTTCAGCATTCCTCAAACTATCCTCTTTAGTGGGGAGAGAGCGAGGGGACTGCAGGTCTGTGAGTAAATGTTGATCTGGTTAAGACTGGATGACTACAGTGTGTTCTGTAGATCCACTGCTGGTTCTTCTTCATCCACACACACACACACACACACACACACACACACACACACACACACACACACACACAGACACACACACTCACCTGACTCCTCTGGACGAATATATCAGTGCCGGCCCGGATGAAGTCTGCAGCGTCGAAACACGGCTCAAACTCTGTGGTCACAAACTTCCCCTGAGCGGCCAGCTTATGCCTGTCCTCTACTGTGCGGATGGGGTAATCCTGCACACACACACACACACACACACACAGCATTAGCATTGCATTACATTACATAGACACCATTACACACACACACAACATTTTACACACACACACACACACACACAGGTGTGCACATACACACACACACACACAGAGACCTGGTCGTAGAGCTGGTCCGCCATGGTGGGTTTGGGCGCGGTGGTCCAGCGGGCGCCGCGTCTGAAGTACTCTTTGATCAGGGGCCGGTACGCACGGTACTCGAAGAAGCGAGCCCTCCACGCCATCGGGGCCTCGATGATCTCATTCCCCACCACCATCAGGATATCCCTGGGCATCGCTGCGTACATGCCTGCACACACACACACACACACACACACACACACACCAGAGTGAGTGAGAGAGAGAGAAGAAAGAGTGTGTGTGTGTGTATGTGTGTCACCTGTCAAGCTGAAGTCATGTGCGTGTGTGTGTGTGTGTGTGTGTGTGTGTGTGTGTGTGTGTGTGTGTGTCACCTGTCGAGCTGAAGTCAGGTGTGTGTGTGTGTGTGTGTCACCTGTCGAGCTGAAGTCAGGTGTGCGGTACTCCAGGGACCAGTCCACCGGCTCTGGCCTCCGCACCGTCACTCCCTCGTGCTGCAGGATGTTGCACATCTCCTCGATCTCCGCCACCGCCTTCTGCACGTGCTCCTTCGGGAATGTCTGACCGCCGTACTGCTGGTAGAAGGGCCAGTACTTCTCATAGGTGTTGGCCTGCAGACACACACACACACACACACACACACACACGGTCTTAAAGGGACAGTTCACCCATTATTGACCGTGTCCTCCTCAGTCTGCAGTGGTGTGTGTGTATGTGTGTGTGTGTGTGTGTGTGTGTGTGTGTGTGTGTGTGTGTGTGTGTGTGTGTGTGTGCAGATCCTCACCTTCACCTCCACGGTGAACGGCGGCACGCATGCGTTTTCAGCTCGGCCCACGATCACTTCCTCCAGCGGGTCCCACTCGTTGTGCGCGCACACGGGGCACTCCTCGGCCGCGGGCTCGGGCACCTGCTCGTGCGCGGACAGCGGGAGCTGTGCGGCGGCGGAACTCGAGCTGCTCCGGGACGCGCGCGACAGCCTTCCCGAGAGCGCGCGACCCACCTGAACACACACACAGAACACCGGCACTTGAATATCCAGAACACTCCAGAGCAATGTAGAGCGAATGAGTATCACAATATTACAATAAGATGATCAATGACTCCAGCTGTAATATAACTGTGGAGGACATGACACAGCTCCTCATCTGCACACACACACAACCCTATAACCCATAACCCTAAACTCCTAAACCTGACCCGATCCCGAGAGGAGAAGAACACTGGATCAGATCATCCATCACCTGCAGGATCAGAGATGCTCATGTTCATCGAGGAACACGTGAGTGTGACTGCAGACACACACACACACACACACACACACACACACACACACCACAATCACAACAGCTCACACACCTGCTCAGAGGAACTAACGCACCTGTGTTCTGCTGTTAAAGTGTTTAGACGTCAGCATCAGCAGAGCTTCTCTCATCTAGAGTCTCCAAACCCGAGCAAACCCACAAGCAGAGGCGCAGAGCTGCAGGAATGATCATCCGCTCTCCTCAAACCTGACCACCAATCAGAAGCGCTGTATAGCTGACATGCCCCGCCCTCACGGTGGCTCAGTGGTCAGCACTGTGGCCTCACAGCAAGAAGCTCTCTGGTTTGAGTCTCGGCTGGGTTAGTTGGTGTTTCTGTGTGGAGTTTGCATGTTCTCCCCGTGTTGGTGTGGGTTTCCTCCGGGTGCTCCGGTTTCCCCCACAGTCCAAACACATGCGCTATAGGGGAACTGATCAACTACACTGGCCCTAGTGTATGAGTGTGTGTGTGAATGAGTGTGTATGGGTGTTTCCCAGTACTGGGTTGCAGCTGGAAGGGCATGCTCTGCATAAAACATTCATGCTGCCCTGAGCAAGATGCCGCCCTGGGTGATCGCCCATATTGCTTAAACCCACCACTGGTGGTGTGGTGGTGTGTGGTGTATAGTGTGGCAGTGTGCTGGCATCCCCAACACACACACACACACACACACACACACAGTCCAGCCTGTTGACATGAGCAGTGACTCATATGTAGCGGCGCTCTGTTCAATAATTAAACACACACACGCCTGTGGAAGGATCTGGAGCTGCCGCTCAGATGTTGGACTTCAGCACTGTTAGGATCAGGGGGTACGGGGGGAAACTACACGGGTAAATCACATGACGCACATATATCAGCCCTGTGTGTGAACGCGCTCAGTGACCCGGCCCGCTCGCTCCTCAGACGTGGATCAGCCGTTCGGCTGGATTTAGAGTTTCCTTCTCACTGATGTGAGGTTTGCTCAGGAGCTCAGACCTGCTGGAGATCAGCTCTACTCATATAAGCAGGACTGGACCGGCTCAGTCAAGCAAAGCTGAGATTCTTCCAGTGTCACCTGTAGGCTATACACACCTAAACTAAACTAACTCTGAGAACGGGACACACTTTCAGCTCTGATGGGCTACATGCACACGACTTCACTTCAGTCATCAGCTCCAGAGCTTCCGGGGAATCGTCATGTCTGTGTTTAAGATCTGCTTTCTTAAAAGCTGCGATCTTCACTGTCACAATATAAAGAGGGCGTCAGACCAAATAAGAAGCACTGCAGTAGATGATATTGTTCTGTGCCGTGTCTTTAACACATGGACATTCATTCACTCCGGTATTATCAGTGGAGTTTGTGCTCGCCTGCTGCTCATGACGGCGCCTGCGTTTAAACGGTCTTTCAGCAACCACACTATAACAACCACATACATGCTGAAGTCTATTACGGTGATTATATTGGAGTTACATTACAACATCCATGCTGGAAAAGGAAGCTTATGACACTGAAAATATTCCCATAAAGCTTTCAGCAGAGGCTCATCATGTGCTGTGCATATACACACATTCACTGAGCTCAGCTGCTGTGACACAATACACACTGTAAAAATCAGGATCAACTGAAGTCAATACACTGTATTATTGAGGGAAAACAGTATATATATATATATATATATATAATGAAAACCAGAATGAAAATGAATGTGATGTAATGTGCACTCTGAGAGAGGGGTGGAACAGAGCCGCTGCTCCTCAAGAGCTTCAGAGAGAGCATTAGTGACCGCAGGCCAGCTTCAAGATAACAGTGTGGACTTACAGACCAGCTCCAGTGCAGTGTATGATAACAGACCAGGACAACATTCTCATTCTTAAGAAGAATATTAGTTTCTGAGAGTCCTGCACATGTTTTGACGGCTAATATGTGCTGATTGTAGGTTTCAGACACTGTTCTGATGCGACAGTGATTTAAGCAGCAGTTCCAGCTCACACTGCAGGATGAATACACACAACACTGAACTAAAGAAAATCTGACAATACAACTAAATAAATCATATATACTACATAGTTATACTATTAACAACACGTTTACCATCAATTGTTTTGCTCACTTTTTGTATTTATATTTAATTTTTCTTTTTGAATACAAGAATAATAACATCACTGCGCTGAGGGAAACACAATAACAAAACACACAAAACAACACAAACTTCACAAAGAAACATGATTATCATAAGCTTGAACAAACGTATTACTATTATTATTATTATTATTATAATTAAGCTGAAGAGATGCAATATTGAACGGGATTTCAGCAAGGAGAGTGTTAAATCCAGGTGTTCCCTTTGCTTGTGTATAACTAATGTAAAGTGTAACACCGAATATATACAGAGATTTCTCTTTTATAGACTAATGTAAATCATGTTTAAATAAAGAGGACAAATCAAAACTAATGTTATTCCACAGATGTTTAACGTGAGAGCACCTGTAGAGTGAGTGAGTGAAGTCTATTGCAGAAAGTCACACGTTACATTCATCTACATGAGCAATGTGGGAGTCAGTGTGATACACACTCTGCTTAATCTTAAACTGCATCTCTTATTCTGTTGCACACGCTGGATTGTTCAGGTAATAGTCATGCTCTCTTTCACTGAATGCTAACTTTGCTCACACGAGTAATTAATTATTAATAAGATGATGTCATTACGCTGCTGTCACTGATTTGCAGGATCGATTGATCGATCAGTCCTTCACGAGCCCATGCAGATCTCAGATCAGCTCATGCAGACAGCTTGACTCTGATCCAGGATCTGCTGAATCTCTCAGTGTGAGGAACTGATGATCATTCAATTACAGCCGGTGCAGACCTGGAGCAGAAGTTTGAACTCTTCTGACTCTTATATCTGATCATTATATAATTAGTGCAGAGTTAAATAAATAACCTTCAGCAGCCAATCAGCAAACACAGCATTAATTCAGCATCAGCTCTGAGATCAGTGGAGGAGATTACACTGGTCTACAGAGTGAGGTGAAGGATTGGCTGCTGTGGGTTACACTCGCTCTAACAGGCGCTCAGTTATTGAGGTAACCCAGTGGCTGAGTTGAACATGTTTGGTGCTCTGTTGGGTTATTTTTAACCTTTATTTGGTTCTTTATTAATAACTCAGCCAGTTGGGTTAAATGTTTTAATCTGAACTGATTTAGTGGACACAGATCAGCTGTATTGACATGTGTGTCATGGTGTTTTTGTGTTATAAGGTTTGTTTAAGCTCTAACGCATCATCATCGTTGTTGTTTTGTTTCTCAGATGAGCTCTCCGTGTTGTTTTATATCCATTTCACCGTCCGGCACCCTCTTTCAGAAGTGATGGATGTGGTAAACTGTACTGTAGACTGTGAGCGCGGGAGGGCTGCTGCGCGCTCGATATACTGCTGTATTCTGTTTCTTCACTGTTCGTGATTCTTCATTTATTCTAAGTGTCTGGAACATAAATGTACTGGAAATAAAGTATTCTCAATATTTTTGAAAACTGTATGTTATTTATTTACACGGTCATGATGATAAGATTAATAGTAGCACTAGTAAGACCAGAATAAAGCACTTAATCAAAATAACCCAGTGCATTGGGGTAAAATGAGCCATAGCTGGGAAGGTGTTATAATAACCTATAGTTGGGTTATGTTGGGGTATTTAATTTAACAGGGAGAGTCCTGTCAATATAGTCAACACTGCTGTATGTGTGTTTAGTCCAGCATTATAACACACAGTGAAGCCTGCTCTGCTCTGCTCCTCATGCACTGTCACTATCTCCATCTCCATGCTGAAGTTCAGTCAATAATCAGCAATAATCATCCTCACAGTGCCGCTCTCATACACTGCCCTAATGCAGCATGAGTGAATCCCCGCGTGAACACATTAAACCTCGCTAATGAAAGCATGAATGAAGAGTGTGTGTGTGTGTGTGTGTGTGTGTGTTCATGATGAGCGCAAACAGATGGACACTTTACTCTCGCTCTCTCTAAGGAGGAGGACGTGATTGAAGACCTCGGGTCACTGCACACCTGTGCTGTCAATCATCCCCAGCACATGAGCGGCTCCTCGGACAGTAGAATCAAATGCACGCGCACAGTACCGTGTGTGTGTGTGTGTGTGTCTCACCATATGGTCTACTCTAAAGTACTGTGCTCCATTCTACTATACTGTACTTTACTGTAGTGGTGTGTGTGTGTGTGTGTATAATGTGATGTGTAGTATACTCACCAGGGCCCCGATCAGATGCGCGGCCTCGGCTCCCCGGCTCCCCCCCCTCAGGCAGCGGACTCTCAGCATGGCTCTGTGCTTGTGCTCGTGCTTCTGGAACTCTCTCTCCTCCGCATGCAGCTGCAGCTCCGGATCGGGCACTAGCCGAGCCTCCGCGGTCGCGCGCTTATATAGACTCTTCCAGCAACGTGACCCGCAGGAGGAGATCCTGACAGCAGCACATTCTTATCGCAGAGGAGTGACGCAAGAGCCCAGACACTCGCGTAGCGCCGGGGTCTATCAGCTACTGTACTCACTGTAAACACTCTGAGGCTGAGGGAGAAGCTGCGCCCCTCATTATCATCTCAATATGCTCTGGCCCTCATCAACATTTACATATTAAAACCCTCCCTCTCCCGCCACACCACCGTCCTGCACTTCTGGACACGCCTCTCATTTATAGCAGTCGCTTAGGGCGGGGCTATCAGTCATTTGAGGCAGGGCTCAGTCATTTAGGGCGAGGCTATCAGTGATTTGGGGCGGGGCTATTAGACCTTTGTTGTTGGTCTATCAGTGCTTTTAGGGAGGAGCTTTTATGGTGGGCCTAATAGTAAATTAGGGTGGGGCTACCAGTCATTTGGGGCGAGGCTACCAGTAACTAAGGGTGGGTCTATCAGTGCTTTAGGGTGGAGCTGTCAAAGATATAGGGAGGAGCTATCTGTTATTTAGTAAGGAGCTGTCAGTACTTTAGGGAGGAGCAATCAATCATTTAGGGCGGAGCTATTAGTCATTTAAGGAGGAGCTATCAATCATTTAGGGCGGAGCTATCAGTGCTTTAGAGAGGAGCTATCTGTCATTTAGGGGGGAGCTATTAGTCATTTAAGGAGGAGCTATCAGTCATTTAGGGCGGAGCTATTAATCATTTAGGGCAGAGCTATCAGTGCTTTAGAGAGGAGCTATCTGTTATTTAGGGAGGAGTTATCTGTTATTTAGGGTGGAGCTGTCAGTGCTTTAGGGAGGAGCTATCAGTCATTTTGGGCATGCTAGTCATTTAGGAAGGGTCTGTTAGTCATTTAGGGTGGAGCTATCAGTGCTTTAGGAGGAGCTATCAGTCTTTTGGAATGGTGCTATAAGTCTTTATGGGAGGGTCTATCAGTCATTTAAGGCGGGGCTATATCTAATTCTCATTTCTGCTCTGCCTTTATCAATCTTCCTTCATTTGCTTAGCCACGCCCATCTTCCAACAATCCAATCAGTTCCCAAATCATGCACCGTCACACATTTCTTTAAATCTCATGTCAGGACTGGTTGTCAAAATGTCACAGTGGTGGAAATGATGAAGCCTAAACACATAACGGCTAATGCTAACGCTGCATCTATGGCAGTACACAGGGAAGGAGACTCGCTGCTGTGTGATTGGCCGAGATGAGCTACAGGCTTTCCAAAGGTGAGTAATACAGACAGCAGGAAGATTTCTGGAAAAGTCCAAAAAATCAATAATAATGAGGATGATGAGGATGTGAGGCGAGTATCTCATTAATGCAGAACAACCTCAGAATACTGATAAACACACATTACTCTAAACACAGAAACCAGTGTGTGAGTAGCAGAAACACACACACTGAGCCGAGCACGAGGCTCAGACACAATATTAAACACACACACACACACACACACACGCACACACACATATCTCTTTGCTTTCTGAAGACCCAACCGCTGCAGCAGAACTGAGCTACAGCTGCTGATGTTGCACACCTGAACATGCCCCGCCCACAACTCACACCATTGGTCAGACTACACACATGATTAAATCTACATTTGCATATCTCAGGAGCTCAACACAATGGTTTATCAGTGTCTGGTGTAATTAGTGAGGGTAATTAAATCACTCATTTACTGAAGAGACGACTGAACACTTAACATGCTCTAATACAGCTGATAGTGTTCCTGCACTCACTACTGAAATAACACAACAGTTCTGAACCAATTCAATCAGATTGTCCTGCTATAAAAACACATTTTGCAGAATTATTTTATCTTATATTCAAGAAGCAATGAAATGAGTCAGTATGGGGCATTTATTAACACGTGGTCCTGCTGTTTACATCATATGATCCATGTAGAAGTGACTCTAGTTCATAAATCTAAAAGACTCTGTTTGACTCAAACAAATAAGAGTTCAATTTCCATTGCCAATGGGGATTTTATTAGTATAGATTGAGAGATTTGAAAATAAAATGCATTAATAAAGCAGCTTTCACAGACACAGAGTCAGCCAGGGCTTTACAGCAAAGGAGAACACAGATCAACACCACAGAGCAAACAGCAGCGCAGAGCCCAGAACACTCGTGCTGACCAGCTCTCCAACAACCACTGAGCATGATCAGAGCCGTCTATAAGCAGATCACAATATCCTTCTCTCTTTATAAATAAATACAGCATTAATATCATCGTACAACATGTTGGAGAAAGTGTATCCAGGCTGTGTTTAATTGAGCATTACTGTACACACACACACACACACACACACACACACACACGTCCTCAAGAGTGAAGCAGATGAAAACTGATCAAATACACAGGCGGAGCGAGTGCTGGAAAATAACTTGAGCAGAAGGACAGCGTAACAATAATAACCATAATGATGACATGTAAAGTGTGTGTGTGTGTGTGTGTGTGTGTGTGTGTGTGTGTTGATCATGTGTTGAATCAATGCAAGAGATCCAGAGTCCAGCGCTGTGGAGGAGGAGTATTGACCAGAGCTGAGAATGATGAAGACCCGAGCAGAGTCCATCAGCCAGCCTGATAAACACACACACACACACACACACACACACACACGCACACAGAAAACACTCTGCTGAAACAGAGCACATTATTATGCGTAAGGTGAACAGTTAATTATGCAGATGAATAATGAGGTGTGTTCCCGTAATCTGCTGTTCTGCTTCTGCTCTGGAATGGCAGCTTTACTCTGATTGGGCGAAATATGCTTAGCCACACCCCTCTGAACACCAATTTGCTGCAAGTGAAAGATAAAAGGCGGAGCTCACAGATAAACCCCGCCCCCTACTCAATATTCAGTTTCCGTTAATGTATACATCATCGCAGTGAAATGAAGAGCAGGTGGAGATACTCTGAATATTCATAACCTGTTCATTCATAAGCTAATAATGAACTTAATCACAGTGTCATCTGTTTCATTAGTTGGAGTTGTTATTAGCTAATAAAGTTCAGTTGTATTAGCATTAGCGCTGTCTATGGATATTACTGAACAAGAGCAGTCATCGTCCACATCTACGGTACATCGCTCTAGAGGATTTAGATGATTTGTTGAGCTTAAATTTAAATCAAACACCACCAAAAATATTGTCTAAAGCATGAACAAATCCAGCTCATGTTCCTCAGCACCGTGTGCCCATCAATGCTAACTGAAGATCACCTGCTGGCCATGTCTGGTACTGCGGCCAAACTAAACACTACTGAGCGCTTGTTTTTGGAGATATCAGCCTCAAATGTGGAGCATAATGTGTGCAGATATTTAGTCATTATTTTCTGTCAATTTTAAGCTGAAATACACATTTTATGTACAATATAAAATATGCATTTATTGTGCACGTATTCTTTTAATAGTTCTGTTTAATTGACATGTCTGTGCTTTAGTGTTTAATACATTAAGAAGCATTTAGAAATGCCATACATTAGAATACAATAAAGCCTCATTATCTACTGTTCAGTGTTTAAATAACAGCTGTACTCTAATATCAGTCTGAGAGCTTTAATTTAGTCTAGTTAATAATAATAATAATGATGATGATGATGATGACGATGTGCCCTTCAAGTAAAGTCATGACACACACACATTACCAGCTGCAGGGGTCCCGCTAGTTACGTTTCATTAATATATGAGCGATTTACAACCCAACACAGAGAAAGCTTGTGTTAATATACAGGCAATAAACGTAGCTCAGAGCAGTCTCGCGATAAAGCTGCAGCAGTGAAACAGCGTAACGAGTCTTTAATTAAATCTATAGAGCCAAACGAGACGAAGAAACGCATCTGAACACTAACAGCAGGTCATGTGACGCCCGGCGATTCCCTGTAAACATCAGCAGCACTATAAAACCTGTTGGAGACCTGTAACGTGTCACTCACCCACACACACACACACACACACACACACACAGTGCTATCGTTACGTGACTATCAGCGCTATCGCATGCCCTTGAGCGGTTCACGTCCATCACGGTCAGCCGCAGTGCATGCTGGGAGTCGATAAGCAGAGGTCATGAGGTTTGTGTTATCAGGGAACCTGCTGCTATCTGGAGCCGCTAACACTGATAGCAAACACACACACACACACACACACACCAATACTGCTGTACAGAGAGCTGCGGATGATGAAACACACCTGTGAACCCACCATACTGCACTGACCCCAACACACACACACACACACACACACACACACACACACACACACACACACACACACTGAGGAGACTGTAGATATACTACAACACACACACACACACACACACACACAGACACACACACGCACACACACACACTGAGGAGACTGTAGATATACTACAACACACACACACAGAGAGGCGACCGCATATACAGTGGGTCCAGTAAGTATTCAGACCCCCTACAGTTGTAGCCGGTCAGGCTTCACTGCTGCCTCCAGCAGTCGGGGCTTCACAGCAGAGTGAGCGACTGAAGGACTCCAGGATGGTGAGCTGTAAGTGTGTCTGCTCTGATGACATCAAGGCAGGAGGTGTTGGCCTGTGTGTGTGGGGAACAGCAGGCTCTGCTCATCATCTGTCCAGCAGAGTGCAGCATCATGCGGTGGGGTGGGGGGGGGCAGGACGGCTGGTTGCAGTCGAGGGAGAGATGAATGTGGCCAGTGACAGGGATATCCTGGAGGAAAACCCGCTCCAGAGTGATCAGGACCTCAGACTGAGCTGAAGGTTTACCTGTAATGAGATGGTGACCCTCAGCACAGCTGATATAATGAAGGAGCGGCTTCACAACAACTCCATCACTGCTCTCGAGTGGCCTAGCCAGAGCCCTGACTTAAACCCAATTGAGTGGACATTTACCAGGGAAACTAGCAACTACAATGATGTTAGCAAACCGCTGCAGTACAGCAGAGTCACACTGAAGAGTGCGGGATACACTGTTCCAGTGTGTGTTCCAGCAGTGTGTGTGTGTTCCAGCAGTGTGTGTGTGTGTGTTCCAGCAGTGTGTGTGTGTTCCAGCAGTGTGTGTGTGTGTTCCAGCAGTGTGTGTGTGTTCCAGCAGTGTGTGTGTGTGTTCCAGCAGTGTGTGTGTTCCAGCAGTGTGTGTGTGTTCCAGCAGTGTGTGTGATCCAGCAGTGTGTGTGTGTGTTTCAGCAGTGTGTGTGTTCCAGCAGTGTGTGTGTGTCCCAGCAGTGTGTGTGTGTTTCAGCAGTGTGTGTGTTCCAGCAGTGTGTGTGTATTCCAGCAGTGTGTGTGTGCTCCAGCATTGTGTGTGTGTTTCAGCAGTGTGTGTGTGTTCCAGCAGTGTGTGTGTGTTCCAGCAGTGTGTGTGTTCCAGCAGTGTGTGTGTGTTCCAGCAGTGTGTGTGTGTTCCAGCAGTGTGTGTGTTCCAGCAGTGTGTGTGCTCCAGCAGTGTGTGTGTGTGTTTCAGCAGTGTGTGTGTTCCAGCAGTGTGTGTGTGTCCCAGCAGTGTGTGTGTGTCCCAGCAGTGTGTGTGTGTTCCAGCAGTGTGTGTGTGTTCCAGCAGTGTGTGTGATCCAGCAGTGTGTGTGATCCAGCAGTGTGTGTGTTCCAGCAGTGTGTGTGATCCAGCAGTGTGTGTGTGTTCCAGCAGTGTGTGTGATCCAGCAGTGTGTGTGTTCCAGCAGTGTGTGTGTGCTCCAGCAGTGTGTGTGTGTTCCAGCAGTGTGTGTGATCCAGCAGTGTGTGTGTGTTCCAGCAGTGTGTGTGATCCAGCAGTGTGTGTGTTCCAGCAGTGTGTGTGTGCTCCAGCAGTGTGTGTGTGTTCCAGCAGTGTGTGTGATCCAGCAGTGTGTGTGATCCAGCAGTGTGTGTGTTCCAGCAGTGTGTGTGTGTTCCAGCAGTGTGTGTGATCCAGCAGTGTGTGTGATCCAGCAGTGTGTGTGTTCCAGCAGTGTGTGTGATCCAGCAGTGTGTGTGTTCCAGCAGTGTGTGTGATCCAGCAGTGTGTGTGTGTTCCAGCAGTGTGTGTGATCCAGCAGTGTGTGTGTTCCAGCAGTGTGTGTGTGTGCTCCAGCAAACACTGATAAGAGTGTAACAGTGACCCAGTTCTGCAGGCTGGTGAGTGCAGATGCAGCAGTAGACTCTGTCCTTCACTGTAGTCTCCCGCTGCGCTGCGCTGAGGTCTGAGCTCTTGGTCGTGTGTCTGATGTACACTCAGATCTGTGTCTGCCGCTCTGGGCTGTCTGGCGCCATCTTCTGACTGAATGATCCTAATGAGCAGGCTGGAACAGTTCAGGTGGACTTCCGGAGCAGCTCCAGTAACGGTGCAGATCAGCACAGTACAGCAGAATCAGACACTGAAGGAGTGAGTGAAGAGCTGACGGTCCATGAAGACCTGCGGTTATACACTATACAGTGTGCTTCAGAAGGAAATGAGATGTACCCGTGATAATAACACGCGTTCAGTGAAGTGTGTGTGTGTGTGTGTGTGTGTGTGTGTGTGTCAGCAGTAATTCTCTTCATGAACGCTGTAATGACGTGTAGAGCTGGTGTTAGTGTGAGGAAAGTCCTCCTGCTGCTGTTGTTTGGTGATGGTGGGTACGGGCTTGGCATGGGCCGGTGTAAGATTCTGTCATGACTGGTTGAAGCTCCAGCTCCAGCTCCAGCAGTGAATGATTGGCAATCAGCAGCTCCTCGTTCATATCACCTCTGGGCATCTTCTTCAATGTGTGCTCGAGTGACAGTGTCACGTGCTGTTTACTGTAACTTCAGCAGCTCTGTGTACAGCAGGGGTGTCCAAACTCAGTCCTGGAGGGCCACGGTCCTGCAGAGTTTAGCTCCAACTTGCCTCAACACACCTGCAAGGATGTTTCTAGAAAGTCTAGTAAGAGCTTGAGGAGCTAGCCCAGGTGTGTCTGAATAGGGTTGGAACTAAACTTTGCAGGACACCGGTCCTCCAGAACCAAGCCTGGACATGCTGGTGTACATAGACAAAAGTGCCAACCTGATTGGTGGAGAAAGTTCTGGTGTGGCCAGGCCCGGAGCAAGCTGAACTGCCGCTCTGGGCAAAGGACAGTCACGCCGCCCTCAACCCTGAAGTGAAAGTGGAAATGGGGGCGCCTGGACACAGATATAACTGAGGGTATACGGGTGGTGAGGATAGTGTCGGAAACGTCGTCCCCTCTATTCTGCCACCATAGGCAGCCGCCTAGGTCGCCTCAATGGACGCGCCGGCCCTGGGTGTGGCGCATCAAAACAAAAACCCGAGCATGAGGCGTTTCTCTAAAGACGAGGCTTTTACGCCTGCTGCTTCACAGAGATCACATTGACGCTCTTATTTAGTCACGAGGTGTTGAACATCAACGGAAAACGTCAGCAGAAAGTATCCTGGTGTGCACGGGCCTCAGGAGATCTCTCTGCTGGAGATACCGCTGTACTCAAGAACAAACACGTGTCAATAAAAGTCTTCCACACACCGCAGGAACGCTCTTACAGATCATTTTAGCAGTTTTATAACCTTGACTTTTCCAAACCACGGTATGCCGTGAAAACGGTTATCATGCCATGGCTAGTGAGGGCTGATGGAGGGGGTTTGGCCAGGACACCGCGGTTACACCGCCACTGTTTACCAGAAGTGCCGTGAGATTATTGATGAGCAGAGTCAGGAGCTCGGTTTAACGTCTCATCTGAAAGACGGCGCTCACTGACAGTGTAGAGTCCCCTTCACTATACTGGGGCATTAGGACCCACACAGACTGCAGGCTGAGCGCCCCCTGCTGGCCTCACTGAGGCGCCTTTTTTTAAATGTTTTTTAACTAACGGTGGTGAGCGTTGTGCACGCTGCTTATGCACCCTGCGATTCAACCACCTGCTGCACCTCAGCCCCTAACACCACTGCCAACAGCAGCCGAGTGTCCCCTGTGCTCTCCCGTCCAGACTCGGACCCGCCTCAGCCCTGCTCAGCCTCAGTGAGGGAGTCGCTGTCTTCAACACTGCTTAAGGTCATCAACAGAACAGGGAACTCAGTTCATCTCAGACACCGACTCCTTTCCTTTTTTGTGGATATAAGCTGAAGAGTGTGAGGAACCATCAGCTGCTCAGGCTTTCTCCTGTATAACCAGCGGCCGGATCTACATCTCCCCTAACAGACCCAGACCAGCTGAAGATAACATCACTCCTGCACCTGTCCATCCTGTTCTGTTATCACAGCTCAGATCATGAAGGAGATCATCCACACACACACACGCGCACACGCACGCACACACACACACACGCACACACACTTCCTGTCACTCTGCCTTCAAAGGCCTCAGTGTGTGTGTGTGTGTGTGTGTGTGTGTGTGTGTGTTTGTTTGTTTGTGTTTAACTCCTCAGCTTAGAGCAGTGTGTGTGTGTTTGTAACTTTGCTCCTGAGCTCAAAACAGGAAAGTCGTGTGTGTGTGTGAGACTCCCCAGAGCAGCTGCACTGGTGTGTGTGTGTGTGTGAGAGAGAGACTCCCCTGCTCAGAGCAGCTGTACTGGTGTGTTTGTGTGTGTGTGTGTTCTCCACAGTAAGATGCTCCTGCTCCTCGTCCTCCTCCTCCTGCTGCTGCTGGTCTCCCCGCTGCTCCTCCGGCGGTTCTCCCCGCTCCTCTGGCCGGATCTGCTGTATCACGCGCGGCTGCTGCGGGCGCTGCTCCGCTTCGAGTCTCGGCGGCGGCGGCGGCCGGTGTTCCTGCCGGTGGACCGGTTCCTCCAGCAGGCGGAGGCGCGCCCGCACAAGCCCTTCATCGTGTTCGAGGGTCAGACGCTGACCTACAGAGACGCGGACCGGGAGAGCAACCGGATCGCGAACGCGCTGCTGCGGGAGTGCGGAATGCGCGCGGGCGACACGGCGGCGCTCTTCATCACCAACCAGCCCGCCTTCATCCTCTGCTGGATCGCGCTCGCTAAACTGGGCTGCGCATGCGCACTGCTCAACACCAGCATCCGGGACGACAGCCTGATCAGGAGCTTCCGGTGCTGCAGAGGCGCCAAAGTGCTCATCGCGTCCGCAGGTGACACACACACACCTGTCTCAGACACACACCTGTCTCACATTCACCATGCCCAGGCTACAACCAGGCACCTGTCACTGGCACACACCTGCCCTCAGATGCGCGCGCACACACACACACACACACACACACACACTGTAACTTCTGGAAACAACGCAGCCTGTGTTACTGTGTGTGTGTGTGTTAATGTGTGTGTATTTGTGTTAATATATGTTTGTGTGTGTGTGTGTGTGTGTGTGTGTGTTAATGTGTGTGGGTTAACTTGTGTGTGTTTGTTCATGTGTGTGTATATGTGTTAACATATGTGTGTGTGTGTGTATATGTGTTAATATTTGTGTGTTCAGACCTGCAGGCGGCGGTGCAGCAGGTGTGTGTGCCGCTGCAGCAGGATGGAGTGTGTGTGTTGATGATGGGGATGGAGTGTTCAGGGATGAGGAGTCTGAGCAGAGCAGCGCAGGAGAGTTCAGACACCGCCGTACCTGCAGCAGTCAGAGCACACCTGACCAACAACACACCTGCTGTCTACATCTACACATCTGGCACCACAGGTGACACACACACACACACACACACACCTGCTGTCTACATCTACACATCCGGCACCACAGGTGACACACACACACACACACACACCTGCTGTCTACATCTACACATCTGGCACCACAGGTGACACACACACACACACACACACACACACACACATACCTGCTGTCTACATCTACACATCTGGCACCACAGGTGACACACACACACACACACACACACACACACACACACACCTGCTGTCTACATCTACACATCTGGCACCACAGGTGACACACACACACACACACATACCTGCTGTCTACATCTACACATCTGGCACCACAGGTGACACACACACACACACACACACACACACACACCTGCTGTCTACATCTACACATCTGGCACCACAGGTGACACACACACACACACACATACCTGCTGTCTACATCTACACATCCGGCACCACAGGTGACACACACACACACACACACACCTGCTGTCTACGTCTACACATCTGGCACCACAGGTGACACACACACACACACACACACACACACACACATACCTGCTGTCTATATCTACACATCTGGCACCACAGGTGACACACACACACACACACACACACCTGCTGTCTACATCTACACATCCGGCACCACAGGTGACACACACACACACACACACACAAAAACACACACACAAAAACACACACACACACACCTAAACACTGACAGGACAAAACATCCACAGCAGGTAACACACCGCAATACTGTCTGTCTATGTGTGTGTGTATTTGTGTATGTGTGCATTTCTCTGACTGTGTGTGTGTGTGTGTGTGTGTGTGTGTGTGTGTGTGTGTGTTTCAGGTCTCCCTAAAGCTGCAGTGATCACTCAGACGCGTCTCCTGGCCTCTCTCGCTGTGCTGCCGTCGATTGGCGTCACACACACTGATGTGCTTTACGTGACGCTGCCTCTGTATCACACCGCCGGCTTCCTCATCGGCTTCATGGGCTGCGTGGAGACAGGTGTGTGTGTGTGTGTGTGTGTGTGTGTGTTTTGTGTTCCAGTCCTTACATTGTACCAAATGTCCCCACAAGTATAGCAGTACCAGTACATTCTGACTTCATGGGGACACACACACAGTTCTACAGCTGTGGAGAGAAAGTGTGGGAGTGAGAGAGTGTGTGAGTGTGTGAGTGTGTGTGTGTGTGTGAGAGAGCGCTTCATGGTCTGACTGTGATTAGTGTGTGTTTCTGAAAGAGCTCTTTGTGTGACTCTGGAATGCTGAAACACACACTGCTGTTCCTCTTAAACCGGGGTAAAGGTCAAGCCCCTCACACACACACACACACACACACACACAGACACAGACACACACACACAGGTGATGCAGTGTGTGCTCTGTGGTCCTCAGGCTCCTCCATGGTTCTCCGCCGTAAGTTTTCAGCGTCTCGGTTCTGGGACGAGTGTCGGGCTCACGAGGTCACCGTGGTGCAGTACATCGGGGAGATCCTGCGCTACCTCTGCAACACACCACAGGTACAGCGGAGACACACACACACACACACTGCAGTGTGTAGCAGAGCAGCACTGAGAGTACATTACAGTGTGTGTGTGTGTGTGTGTGTGTGTGTGTGTCAGCTGACTGAAACCCTGAGCAGATTTACAGAGCTGGCAGAACAGTGTGGTCAGTGAGGACATGTGTGTGTGTGTGTGTGTGTATGATTTAGTGAAAGAGAGCATGTGAGTGTGTGTATGTGTGAGCAAGTCTATTAGTGTGTGTGTGTGAGTGTGTGTTACAGCTGTTACTCTCTGTAAACTGACCCCAGCACAGTGCTTCTTCTATAGAGCCGCAGTTTTCCTCCCCCTCCTCCTCCTCCTCCTCCTCCTCCTCCTCTTCCTCCTCCTCCTCCTCCTCCTCCTCCTCCTCCTCCTCCTCCTCCTCCTCTTCCTCAGGGTTCTGGGTGTGGTCAGTGAATATTGGTATTAGCACACTGAAAGCGGATCCCGCTCATGTGACAGCGCCGTCAGCCAATGGGAGCATGCGCTGAGGGCAGGGCTGGATCTGGGAATAGCTGCTGGCCTTTACTGGGAAACTGATCTTCTGAATGCAGCAGGACACGTGGAGCACTATGACCTCACTGCAAGAAGGTCGCAGGTTTGAGTCTCGGCTGGGTCAGTTGGTGTTTCTGTGTGGAGTTTGCATGTTCTCCCCGTGTTGGTGTGGGTTTCCTCCGGGTGCTCCGGTTTCCCCCACAGTCCAAACACATGCGCTATAGGGGAACTGATCAACTACACTGGCCGTAGTGGATGAGTGTGTGTGTGTGTATGGGTGTTTCCCAGTGCTGGGTTGCAGCTGGAAGGGTATCCGCTGTGTAAAGCATATGCTGGAATAGTTGGCGGTTCATTCCACCGTGGTGACCCCAGACTGAGCTGGAGGAGAGTGAGTGAGGGATGTTGGTTGTCCATTATGAGCTGAATATTGATGATCTGTGTGGTCAGGAAGGTGTGCAGTGCGCTGCTGATGAGGCATTAACACACTTATGGCTCACAAAATGACCCCAAATATTTGAACACCTGAGATATTGCAATAGTTTGGTGACTTTTCCTAAAATCAGCCCAGTATTAGAGAATACATGATCATTTTGTGTGTTCATGAAGGCAGAACTCAGTCAGGCTACAGCAGGCGTCCTTCATCAGCTCTGCATCACCACTGTGTGTCACATGTGCTCTATACAGACACTGACCCCGCCTACAACACACACACACACACACACACACACACTCAACACAGCAGAGATAGACGCTTGTGTTGATCTGTGCATGTGTGTGCTGGTGTGTGTGTGTGCTGGTGTGTGTGTGTGCTGGTGTGTGTGTGCTGGTGTGTGTGTGTGCTGGTGTGTGTGTGTGCTGGTGTGTGTTCTCCAGAGGGCTGTTGATCAGCATCATGCGGTGCGGTTGGCCATCGGGAACGGGCTGCGCGCAGACGTCTGGAGAGAGTTTCTGCAGCGCTTCGGCCAGATGGAGGTGCGGGAGTTCTACGCCTCCACCGAGGGGAACATCGGCTTCCTCAACTACACCGGGAGACTGGGAGCTGTGGGACGGGTCAGCTTCCTGCACAGGGTAATAGTCTGCAGGGGGCGCTCATCTGTGTGTGTGTGTGTGTGAGTCTGCAGGGGACGCTTTAGTGAACACTACAGAGCTCTGATCATATGTGTGTGTGTGTGTGTGTGTGTGTTCACTTATTCAGATGGCGGTCCACTACGCCCTCATCCAGTTCGACACCGAGAGAGAAGAGCCGGTCAGAGACTCCTCAGGCCGCTGTGTGGAGGTGCCTAAAGGTCAGAGGTCACAGTCCTGCTCCCTTTAAAGGTCACCCGCGCAGTCCTCCTAGAGCTCAGAGCTCTGTAGAGCAGGAGGCGCTCACATACACACACACACACAGACACAGCGTCATATCCTACACACACCTCCAGTCAGAGAGAAGCTGCAGCTGCAGTGCTCATGCTGGGAAACACCACCTACAGGAGAGCCAACCTGACCCCTTCACAAGCTGTAGAGTACTGATGTGCCTAAACTGTGTGTGTGTGTGTGTGTGTGTGTGTGTGTGTGTGTGTGTGTGTGTGTGTGCAGGACAGACGGGGTTACTGGTGTCCCAGATCACACACATGGCTCCGTTCGTGGGTTACGCACACGATGAGCAGCAGACGGAGAGGAAGCGGCTGCGGGACGTCTTCAGGAGGGGCGACGTGTACTTCAACAGTGGAGATCTGATGAGGATGGATCAGGACAACTTCCTGTACTTCATAGACCGAGTGGGAGACACGTTCAGGTCTGTAATGTTACATCATCTGTGTGTATCAGGGTTAGGGTGAGCATCCAAACCCGGGAGGAACACGGCAGCTGCTCATGTGAACCAGAATCTGAAGATCTGAAGCGAATCTGTGAATCTGAAGTGACTCAGTCTTGTCCTAAAGTGAATCAGTGTTGTCCTGAAGTGAATCAGTGTTGTTCTTAAGTGAATCAGTGTTGTTCTTAAGTGAATCAGTGTTGTCCTGAAGTGAATCAGTGTCGTCCTGAAGTGAATCAGTGTTGTTCTGAAGTGAATCAGTGTTGTTCTTTAGTGAATCAGTGTTGTTCTTAAGTGAATCAGTGTTGTCCTGAAGTGAATCAGTGTTGTTCTGAAGTGAATCAGTCTTATTGTGAAGTGAATCAGTGTTGTCCTCCATGTGAATCAGTGTTGTCCTGAAGTGAATCAGTCTTGTTGTGAAGTGAATCAGTGTTGTCCTGAAGTGAATCAGTCTTGTTGTGAAGTGAATCAGTGTTGTTGTGAAGTGAATCAGTGTTGTCCTGAAGTGAATCAGTGTTGTTGTGAAGTAAATCAGTGTTGTCCTGAAGTGAATCAGTGTTGTTCTTAAGTGAATCAGTGTTGTTCTTAAGTGAATCAGTGTTGTCCTGAAGTGAATCAGTGTCGTCCTGAAGTGAATCAGTGTTGTTCTGAAGTGAATCAGTGTTGTTCTTTAGTGAATCAGTGTTGTTCTTAAGTGAATCAGTGTTGTCCTGAAGTGAATCAGTGTTGTTCTGAAGTGAATCAGTCTTATTGTGAAGTGAATCAGTGTTGTCCTCCATGTGAATCAGTGTTGTCCTGAAGTGAATCAGTCTTGTTGTGAAGTGAATCAGTGTTGTCCTGAAGTGAATCAGTGTTGTTGTGAAGTAAATCAGTGTTGTCCTGAAGTGAATCAGTGTTGTTGTGAAGTGAATCAGTCTTGTTGTGAAGTGAATCAGTTTTCAGTCTTGTCCTCCATGTGAATCAGTGTTGTTGTTCTGCTGTGTGCAGGTGGAAGGGAGAGAACGTGGCGACCACTGAAGTCTCGGACGTCCTCAGTCTGCTGGAGTGTGTTGCGGAGGCCAGTGTTTACGGAGTTTGTGTTCCAGGTGGGCTGAGGCTGTGTTTGCTCTGAATCTGCTTCCTCATGATTGATGACATCACTAATGTGTGTGTGTGTGTGTGCGCAGGTCATGAGGGACGCATCGGGATGGCTGCAGTAAAACTGAAGGATGGAGCCGAGTTTGAGCAGAAGCAAGTGTTTGAGCACGTCTCCAGACTCCTGCCTGCGTACGCCAGACCGCGGTTCCTCCGCCTGCAGGTAAACCCCGCCTCCTCCTCCTGAACAGCATGTGAAGCCTGCAGTTCCTCATGAAAGCGTGTGTGTGTGTGTGTGTGTGTGTGTTCTGTGTGCAGAGCTCAATGGAGCTGACCAGCACCTTTAAACAGCTGAAGCTGAAGCTGGTGGAGGCCGGGTTCAATCCCAGCATGACCTCTGACCCCATCTACTTCCTGTGTGAGCGCGAGCAGACGTACGTCACCCTGACCCCCAACATCTACCAGCAGATCCTAGCGCACAGCATCAAACTCTGATTACTGCCTCATCAGCGATACTGTTAGAGAAACACAATCACATGTGGACAATAGAGCTGACGCAGAGCAGTGAACCGACAAATAAAGTGTTTAAAAGCCGTGTGCTGTTCATCATCTGACCACCAGAGGACGCTGTTTAATCTGATTCTCTGAGCATTGATCAGCACACACAGAACTCTGCTCTGGTCTCTGGGTCATGTGCTGTTATGAGCAGAGCTGAGGGGGAGCGGCTCTCAGGACTCTCAGCTCACAGTAAGCAGACCATGCGTCCCAAAGTGGGGGTGTAAACCCCTCAGAGATAAAGTGGGAGAGTCGCTTGGTGATTTCCAAAAATCCAATTCACTTCATTAAACTAAGAGTTAGCACATTAATCCAGAACATGCAGAAGAACAGGAACAGTCACACTATATCAATATAACAGTGTTTATGGCAGCGGGCTACACTCTCTGACAGCTGTACACACTCACACAGGCCACAACAGGACGGGTCACGAGTCAGCACACACACACACACACACACACACAACTCTGCAGATGTTCAGCCCATCATTAATTCTGTTTATTGACTTGTGTAAATCTATATTTATTCCCTTGTTAAATTAAATCTGGTAGTATTGTTATAATATGATCATTTATTATGTGTGTACAGTCATATTTCTGTCTATTAATAGTTATATCTTATAAGAGACTTGCTTTATTTACCAAATTAAGAGCATCTAATTGGGTTTGCATTTTAAACATTAAATAAAAGTTAGAATAGTGTTACTTTATATTTCCAATACAAAATCATTCAGCATAAATCCACAGATTTACCAAAACTCTGAGCAGAATCAGCTAAAAGTGTCCGCAGAGTCCGTCTGGCCCTAATCACGAGTCACTGCCACTGAACCTTTGGGGTCAGAGGCGGAAAAGTTTGGGAACCCCTGCCATAAACTAAAACATCTATAACATATAATACATGTGTGTGTGTGTGTGTGTGTGTGTGTGTGTGTGTGTGTGTTTAGTACATCAGTTGTGTATTTCACTGCTGATTCTAATATCAATATGACACACTGCCTGCAGTAAACACACACACACACTGCCTGCAGTAAACACACACACACACTGCCTGTAGTAAACACACACACACACGCACACAAACACACACACTGCCTGTAGTAAACACACACACACTGCCTGTAGTAAACACACACACACATGCGCACACACACGCACACACACACTGCCTGTAGTAAACACACACACACATGCACACACACACTGCCTGTAGTAAACACACACACACACACACACACTGGCCGTAATAAACACACTTGTGATGATCAGCTAAAGACAGTGTGTGTGTGTGTGTGTGTGTGTGTGTGTGTGTGTGTTGGTTTGTTTTCTGGACTTTGAGCGTCTCTGGGCTCGTGCTGTGTGTGCAGCTTCAGCTCTAGATTAAATCTATCAGTAGATGATATCAGGTGTGTTCTCTAGATGAGCAGAGGAGGAAGGACATGTGGGGACTGAGTGATGGCATCATTCTCAGCTCTGGGTGATCACGCTTTCATCATCATGTGAGTGAAGACGACTGCGTTACAGTAACGGCTGAGCCGGCAGCAGGACTCTGACACTTCCAGTGCTGTGTGTGAACAGTTGTCACTGCACTACAGCCGTCCACCGGTTCACACACTCTTACTGTGGAATAGAGGCAGGTTGAGCTGAGGCAGCGGTGCTGATGAATGAATGAGCCGCTGTTCTGCCATTTCACCCTGCACACCATCACATTACGCCACCAACACTGTGTTGAACAGCTCTGCGGCTGGGTC